TGCCCTGAAAAGTTATGAGTACAGTTGTAAGTACAGTTGTAAGTGGTTAAAAAGTACCATGAACCTCCAAGCAGGGAACCTCGTTGAGCAGCAGGGAGAATGGATCCCGGTCAGGTTTAGGGTTTAGTGTATTTGCGGTTTAGGGTTTAGGGTTTAGGGTTTAGGGTTTAGGGTTTAGGGTTTAGGGTTTAGGGTTTAGGGTTTAGGGTTTAGGGTTTAGGGTTTAGGGTTTAGTGTATTTGCGGTTTCGGGTATTTGAGGTTTAGGGCTACTAGGAGGATCGGGGGTACTCAGTGAGCGGCTTAGCGGTTTTCAAGGCAGGACAGGGCTGCAACTGCTGCAACTCCACTTTGTTCCTACTTTCTACCTAAACCCTAAACCCTAAACCCTAAACCCTAATCCCTAATCCCCACATCCTTCCAGGACTGATGGTCCGCGGCTTGGGTGGGAACTTCGGAGCACTTTCAACGGAGGTTTGCAATCTCGCACAAGGCTCCTGAAACTTAAAGCCTCAGTAAGACACGAGGGCAGGACTCCTTCGCAACGAGCCCCCATATACCCGAAACCAGAAAATCTCAGAACCGCAAAGCCTGACCAGACGCACAGGCTCGTAGTCACCGGTTTGAGTTAAGGGCTGCTGCTGCTAGGGCCGCTAGGGCAGGGGGGGTGGGGGGGGCTTAGACTTTGGAGCTTTGGGTCTTTTTCAGTGTAGGCCTGGAGCCATGAGGGCCCCTGAAAACCAAAGCCTAAACCCTGGAACCCCGAACCCTAAACCCTTAGGGGTTTAAGCTTAGGGTTGGGCTAAACCCCAGAACCCGCAACTCTAGAAGCCTAGAAGTTTTGGCCTTAGAAGATTTCCTAGAAGGCTTCGAACCCTCCTAAACCCTAAACCCTAAGCCCTAAACCCTAAATCCTAAACCCTAAACCCTAAACCCTAAGCCCTAAACCCTAAATCCTAAACCCTGAACTAAACCTTAAAGCCACCAAACCCTAGAACCCCGGAGCCCTAACCCTTGCCCCGAGGAGCCAATACAGCTTAAGTAATACATGGGGACTCCTTAGTATGGTTTTAGGCTTTAGGTCCTAGGGTTTTAGGGTTTAGGGGTTTAGGGGTTTGGGGTTTCGAGTTTAGGGTTTCGGGTTTAGGGTTTAAGGCGAGGGTTTAGGGGTCTAGGGTTTAGGGCTTAGGGTTTAGGGCTTCGGGACAATTCCTTCATTAAGAGGGTTCTTTGTGCGGTGCTGCCTCGTCCGCGCTCACGCGCTCGAGGCGGCCCACCTGCTCCCGTCGCGCACGGGATCGTTTGCAGTAGAGAGTTGCTTATGGCCCCCTACAACGTAAACCCTAAACCCTAAACCCTAAACCCTAAACCCTAAGCCCTAAACCCTAAGCCGGTCACCCTAAACCGGTTATACCGGTTTTTGGGGCTTGGGCGTGGATCACCCTCTTCATGACCCGAACCCCCAAACTCTAAACCGGTTTAGGGGTCAGGGTTTAGGGTTAAGGGTTAAGGGTTTAGGGTTTAGGGTTTAGGGTTTTACGGTTTTAAAATTAGGGTTGAGAGTTTACGGTTTAGGGTGTAGGGCTAACCCAACACCCCCACGAAAACCCGCCAAGCCCCTCGACCCAAACCCCCTCAACCCCCTAAACTGAAACCTTAAACACCCCTTCAAACCTCAAAACCCAACCCCATACCTGCAACCCTAAACCTTAAACCCCAAGCCTTAAACCCTAAACCCTAAACCCACTTATAACAAGAACTTAAACAACTCAAAACTCGAAACCCGTAACTCCTAAGCCCCGCGATTCCTACCGCGGCCCCGCCTTGAGATCTAATAACCCTAAACCCTAAACCCTAAACCTTGAACCGTTCAGGGTTCAGGGTTCAGGGGGCTTAGGGTTTGGAGGTGTTGGGGTTGAGGGTTGGGTTTGGGGTTCAGGGTTGGGGCTTACGGTTGCCGGGTTGTGGGGTTTTGGGGGTTTTAGGGGTTTAGGGTTTAGGGTTTCGGGTTCCTTCTAGAAACCCCCAACACCTCAGCCGCGCGACCCCCCAAAACCCTCCACCCCCGCCTCGAGATCTCCCAAAGAGATGGCTCCGTAGCTTGTCCGGTGGAGCTCGACCCTCAATGGGAGCAGGTTTAGGGTTTAGGGTTTAGGGTTTAGGGTTTAGGGTTTAGGGTTTAGGGTTTAGGGTTTAGGGTTTAGGGTTCAGGGGTTTAGGGTTTAGGGTTTAGGGCTCAGGGCTTAGGGCTTAGGGCTTAGGGCTTAGGGTTTAGGGTTTAGGGTTTAGGGTTTAGGGTTTAGGGTTTAGGGTTTAGAGCTTAGGGTTTAGGGTTTAGGGATCCTAAAACCCGCAACCCTAAACCCCAAAGCTTGAAATTGGCCCCACGTAGCCCTGCATAAAAACGGTAGCTGAGCTAAAAGCTTCTCAGCAAGAGCCCAGATTCTCAGATTCCTACGCTGCCCCCGTCAGTCCTTTGAAGCGAACATGTTAGGGTTTAG